CCCCCACACAGAGACACACACAGCCACACACACACAGCCCCCACACACAGACAGACACGAGACACACACACACAGTCACACACACAGACACAAAACAGCGACATGCACAGACATACACACACAGACACACACACACACACACACACACACGCAGACACACGCACAGATGCCTGCCTCCTCAGGAACACGCTGGTGCTCCCGTCCACCCTGCCCCGGGGAGCAGGTGTGTCACAGGTGTGGGGGGTGGACCTGCTGGGTCCCCGAGACCATGGACAGCCTCTCCTGTGAGGCAGCTCAGGCACCGGGAGGAGGTCCTTGCTTACTCACACGGCCACCTCTGTCCTCCAGAATCCGGTCAGCACCCCTTGTCCAGCCTGAAGCCCCACGAGAGTTCAGACATTCCAGAAGGATCCCTGGCCCTCTTCCCACTCTGACATTCTTTACACACAGCAGATATTTATGGGGGCTACTCCCAGCCAGGCTCTGAGGCACTGCAAAGGACGGCCATGCCCTGACCTCCCCAGCTCACAGGGACGAAGGCACAGGGGCAGCGTGGTGGCTGCAAGGCCCAGAGCGGGGCACAAGGGTCAGGGGGGCGCTGCATGGGGGAGGCAGGAAAGGAAGAGGCGGGTGTACCCTCGAGGGGGTGACTTGTGTCCAGGGAGGGGAGAGTTGGGAATTCGGGGACACAGATCAGGAGGGTGGCCCTTCCCACATATGTAGGGCAACTACTGGCCCCAGCCAAGGCCCCCAGGAGAGAAGGCATCTCCCCGGGGAGGAAGAGGAGTTGGGGAGCCCTTCGGCCCAGGGAGGAGCGCTGGAGATGGGGACTGATAATGACCTCCTTCCTCCCAACCCCTCGGGTCCTCCCATAGTCTCCCTTTCAGCGAGCTCCAGGGGCATTGTTCTGCCTTTGTAAAGCGGGAGATCAGGTGACAAAGCCGGGTGGGTGGGCAGGAGGCCAGAGGCCTCTTCTCTCCCAGGCCGCATCTGCATGGGGCGGGGCTCATCCACCCCCCACCTCTGGCTTCCCAGGCACCGCCGTTGCCATGGTGACAGGCCTGGCATCCCACGGCCCCTGGGGCGCCCTGCCCACCGAGGCTGCCAGAGGAAGGGCCCCCCGACACTTCTCCACCCTGGCAAGGTGGAGGCAGGGGCCCACAAAACCTGGCTCTTAGGCCAGCCCCAGCAGTAAGAGGTTGCTATCAGCCGGAACCTCCCAAGTCTGTGGGAAGGGAGCCCCACCCCGGCACCCTGACAGCTGGGGGCTCAGGAGGTGGGGCCACTCATCACTATCATCCAGGTACCTAGGCCTCTTTGGGGCCAGATACAGAGAGAAATAATACGTTTTATTTATTTGTTTGTTTTTTGGAGCGAGGGGGTCTTGCTGTGTTGCCCAGGCTGGTCTGGAACTCCTGGGTTCCCACCTTGGCCTCCCAAAGTGCTGGGATTGCAGGCATGAGTCATCACACCCGGCCAATATGTTATTTCTTGATGTTATTCCATGGCCTTTAAACAGTGACTGGCATGGGGCCGAGGGAGGGCACAGACACAGAGGCCACAATGTGCTGGACAGATGGGCTGGCCTGGACCCTGGGCCCACAGAGTCCAGCCCTGGCCAGGAGGGACGGAGGCTGCCCCTGGGAGGTGATGCTTCAATCTGGGGCGCCAGATGGAACGGAAGAGGAAAAAGACCGTCAGAGCTGGGGAAACAGCCCAGGCAAAGGCCTGGAGGCATGGCTTTGCTGGGTGTTTCTAGGAAGGAGTGAGAGAGGGGTGTGGGGTGGAGCAGGAACTGAAGAGGTGGGGAGGGGGCTCTGCTTGGAGGAGCTTCCACTGCCATCCCTAAGAGCACACACTTTACCCTGGGCAGCTGCTGCTCAAGTTTTGGGACCCTCCGTTATCATTGCCCAGGTGATCAAAGCTGGGGCTGGTCTGCCTGCCTGCCTGCCTCCCTTCCTTCCTTCCTTCCTCCCTCCCTCCCTTCCTTCCTTCCTTCCTCCCTCCCTCCCTTCCTTCCTTTCCCCCTCCCTCCCTCCCTCTGCCTTCACTCCCTTCCTCCTTCCCTCCTTCCCACCCTCCCTCCCTCCCTCGTTCCTTCCTTCCTTCCTTCCCTGTTCCCTCCCTTCCTCCCTCCTTCCTTCCCTCTTTCCTTCTCCCCAGAGGAGTCCGGTGGCCTTGTGAAATGAGTATGGGGTCTGGAACAGACCGTCACAAATGGAACACTTAGTAGCTCTGTGCCCTTGGGTATGTCATTCGTCTCTGCGCCTCAGGTTCCCCATCTGGGGAATGAGGATAGCGTGGATTGCTGAGAAGATACAGTGAGGTCAAGTGTGCAGCGCGATCGGTCAGACTCAGGCGCCCAACACGTGAGTTGTTTCTTTTCCTTTGTTTCCCTTTGTTATTTTCCTCAGGCCGGCCTCAACGGCTCACGCCTGTAATCCCAGCACTTTGGCAGGCTGAGGTGGGTGGATCCGCTGAGGTCAGCAGTTTGAGACCAGCCTGGCCGACATGGAGAAACCCCATGTCTAGTAAAAATACAAAAATCAGCTGGGTGTGGTGGCATGGGCCTGTAATCCCAGCTACTTGGGAGGCTGAGGCAGGCAAATCGCTTTAACCCGGAGGCGGAGGTTGCACTGAGCTGAGGTCATGCCATTGCACTCCAGCCTGGGCGACAAGAGCGAAATTCCATCTCAAATAAATAAATAAATAAATAAGGCCGGGCGCGGTGGCTCACGCCTGTAATCCCAGTACTTTGGGAGGCCGAGGCGGGTGGATCACGAGGTCAAGAGATCGAGACCATCCTGGTCAACATGGTGAAACCCCGTCTCTACTAAAACTACAAAAAATCAGCTGGGCATGGTGGCGGCGCGTGCCTGTAATCCCAGCTACTCAGGAGGCTGAGGCAGGAGAATTGCCTGAACCCAGGAGGCGGAGGTTGCGGTGAGCCGAGATCGCGCCATTGCACTCCAGCCTGGGCAACAAGAGTGAAACTCTGTCTCAAAAAATAAAATTAAATTAAATAAATAAATAAATATATAAATAAATTTTTAACTATTACTATCTTCTTTTTTAGAGATGAGGTCTCACTATGTTGCCCAGGCTGGTCTCAAACTCCTGAGCTCAAGTGATCCTCCTGCCTCGGCCTCCCAAAGTGCTGGGATTACAGGCGTGAGCCCCGTTCGTGGCAGAATTGTTGATTTTACAGTAGGATTATCTGCCTCCATTACAGAAAAGCAAGCTGAGGCTCAGAGAGGAGCCCCAAGTCACATACACCCAGAGGAGAGGCAGAGGCTGCATTTGAGCTGCCACTGAGTACAAAGCAGAGACTTCCACTGGTGGGAAGGCTTAGAAATGGCCTCCCCTACTGGGCATGGTGGAGCATAACTGTAATTCAAGCACTTTGGGAGGCCGAGGAGGGTAGGTCACCTGAGGTTGGGAGTTCGAGACCAGCCTGACCGAAATGGAGAAACCCCCATCTCTACCAAAATTACAAAATTAGCCGGGAGTGGTGGTGTCCGCCTGTAATCCCAACTACTCTAGTGGCTGAGGCGGAAGGTTGCTTGAGCCCCTGAGATGGAGGCTGCGGTGAGCTATGATCGGGCCACTGGACTCCAGCCTGGGAAAGAGACCCTGTCTCTAAAAAGAAATAATAATTAAAAATAAAAATAGTCTCCTGGCTGGGCGTGGTGGCTCACGCCTGTAATCCCAGCACTTTGGGAGGCCGAGGTGGGTGGATCACCTTAGGTCAGGAGTTCCAGACCAGCCTGGGCAACATGGTGAAACCCCATCTATATTAAAAATACAAAAAAATTAGCCGGGTGTGGTGGCCCATGCCTGTAATCCCAGCTACTCGGGAGGCTGAGGCAGGAGAATCGCTTGGACCCAGGAGGCGGAGGATGCAGTGAGCCGAGATCGCACCACTGCAGTCCAGCCTGGGCGACAAGGACTAACCTCCGTCTCAAAAAAACAAAAAAAAGCCTCCCGCCTAAAGTAAAATGAGGCGACCTAGTATGAGAGTGCGGGCACAAGGCCTTCCCGCAGCCTCGCCCAGGCGGCAAGGGAAGGGGAAGAACCGAGTGGAAGCAGAAGGCGAGCGGACAGCACCCACTAGGCTCCGCCCCACCCCGCGCTCCGCGGGGCCAGGAGACGCGGCGCCTTTAAAGCCCAGCGGGGGCGTGTCCCTGGGCGTGTCCGCCCGGAGCCCCGCCCCGGGGGCTGGTAGCCGCGGCCCCCGGAGGCTGCGCCCGCTCTGGCTCCGCGGCGGCTCGGGTGGCAGCGGCGGTGGCGGCTCGGCGGGCTCCGCGGCTCCTGTCCCTCGGGCGGCTGCCCGCGCGCTGCCCAGGGCGCCCGGACACACGTGGCGGCTCGGCGATGGCCCGCGCCCCGCGACGTGGCGGGCAGGCACCGGGGCGCGGGACCGCTCGGCCGGAGTGAGCCGGGGCCGCGCTCCCGCCCTCGGCCCGCGCCGCCCGGGATGGCCGTGGCGCCGCTGCGGGGGGCGCTGCTGCTGTGGCAGCTGCTGGCGGCGGGCGGCGCGGCGCTGGAGATCGGCCGCTTCGACCCGGAGCGCGGGCGCGGGGCGGCGCCGTGCCAGGCGGTGGAGATCCCCATGTGCCGCGGCATCGGCTACAACCTGACCCGCATGCCCAATCTGCTGGGCCACACGTCGCAGGGCGAGGCGGCCGCCGAGCTGGCGGAGTTCGCGCCCCTGGTGCAGTACGGCTGCCACAGCCACCTGCGCTTCTTCCTGTGCTCGCTCTACGCGCCCATGTGCACCGACCAGGTCTCGACGCCCATCCCCGCCTGCCGGCCCATGTGCGAGCAGGCGCGCCTGCGCTGCGCGCCCATCATGGAGCAGTTCAACTTCGGCTGGCCGGACTCGCTGGACTGCGCCCGGCTGCCCACGCGCAACGACCCGCACGCGCTGTGCATGGAGGCGCCAGAGAACGCCACGGCCGGCCCCACGGAGCCCCACAAGGGCCTGGGCATGCTGCCCGTGGCGCCGCGGCCCGCGCGCCCTCCCGGAGACCCGGGCCCCGGCGCGGGCGGCGGCGGCGGCACCTGCAAGAACCCGGAGAAGTTCCAGTACGTGGAGAAGAGCCGCTCGTGCGCGCCGCGCTGCGGGCCCGGCGTCGAGGTGTTCTGGTCCCGGCGCGACAAGGACTTCGCGCTGATCTGGATGGCCGTGTGGTCGGCGCTGTGCTTCTTCTCCACCGCCTTCACGGTGCTCACCTTCCTGCTGGAGCCCCACCGCTTCCAGTACCCGGAGCGCCCCATCATCTTCCTCTCCATGTGCTACAACGTCTACTCGCTGGCCTTCCTGATCCGCGCGGTGGCCGGGGCGCAGAGCGTGGCCTGTGACCAGGAGGCGGGCGCGCTCTACGTGATCCAGGAGGGCCTGGAGAACACGGGCTGCACGCTGGTCTTCCTGCTGCTCTACTACTTCGGCATGGCCAGCTCGCTCTGGTGGGTGGTCCTGACGCTCACCTGGTTCCTGGCGGCCGGGAAGAAATGGGGCCACGAGGCCATCGAGGCCCACGGCAGCTACTTCCACATGGCTGCCTGGGGCCTGCCCGCGCTGAAGACCATTGTCATCCTGACCCTGCGCAAGGTGGCCGGGGATGAGCTGACCGGTCTCTGCTACGTGACCAGCTCGGACGCGGCAGCGCTCACGGGCTTCGTGTTGGTGCCTCTCTCCTGCTACCTGGTGCTGGGCAGTAGCTTCCTACTGACCGGCTTCGTGGCCCTCTTCCACATCCGCAAGATAATGAAGACGGGCGGCACCAACACAGAGAAGCTGGAGAAGCTCATGGTCAAGATTGGGGTCTTCTCCATCCTCTACACAGTGCCCGCCACTTGCGTCATTGTTTGCTACGTCTACGAACGCCTCAACATGGACTTCTGGCGTCTTCGGGCCACGGAGCAGTCATGCGCAGCAGCAGCCGGGCCTGGAGGCCGGAGGGACTGCTCGCTGCCAGGGGGCTCGGTGCCCACCGTGGCTGTCTTCATGCTCAAAATCTTCATGTCGCTGGTGGTGGGCATCACCAGCGGAGTCTGGGTGTGGAGCTCCAAGACTTTCCAGACCTGGCAGAGCCTCTGCCACCGCAAGATGGCAGCTGGCCGCGCCCGGGCCAAGGCCTGCCGGACCCCCGGGGGCTATGGCCGTGGCATGCACTGCCACTATAAGGCTCCCACCGTGGTCTTGCACATGACTAAGACGGACCCCTCTCTGGAGAACCCCACACACCTCTAGCGACACAGGCCTGGTGCAGGGTGGCTGCTGCCCCCCTCCTTGCCCTCCACGCCCTGCCCCCCCTGCTTCCCAAGACAGCTGACTAGCAGCTGCCCAGCTGTCAAGGTCAGGCAAGTGAGCCCAGGGGGCTGAGGACCAGGGAGGGTACCCCGTGAGGCTCATGTCCCCAGCTCCCGTAATGTGGGGGCTGGGCCAGGCTGAGTCCCCACAGGGTTCTAGGAGAGGATATGGAGAGGAGGGGGCAGAAGGGGCACGGTCCAGCCGGAGTTTATTTAATGATGTAATTTATTGTTGAGTTCCTCTGGAAGCTGTGACTGGAATAAACCCCCGCGTGGCACTGCTGAGTTCTCTCTGGCTGGGAAGTGGGGAGGTAGGAGGGTGAGGGCCCCGCAGGAGCCTGCCTTGTAAGTGGAGCTGGCGGTGGGTACTGGCACCCCCCAATCAGGAGGAAGTCCCCCCAGAACAGCTGCAGGAGTCCCAGACACCGTGCGTGCGTGTTATCCCCTCCCGCCCGTCTCTGATCTTCCAAATGGAGACAGGGACGCCTGCGGGATGTTCAGGGAATCTCCCAGGGTGACACCAGCACCTCTGGCCCCAGGAGTCCAGTTTGAGGCTGTGGCTGAGTTTTTCTTCTCTGGGGCCTTGCTTTTCTCATTGGTGTGGAAAGTGAGGGCATCGGCCTGTGTCAGTATTGTCACAACGCCCCCTCCCTGGGGCCTGGGAAGATTGCCCATCAGGGCAGCTCCGCCAGCTCTCTGGCGTCTCCAGGTGGGGCGAAGATGAGGCTGGACTGGTCTGTGGCCCTCTGGGTAGCACAGACATGCACGTGGAGCTGGGAAGCCCTTGAGTAGAGTGGGAATTGGGCCCCCAGCTCTGAAGCTTGTCAGATTTGAGGTGCTGATGGCAGCGGTGGGAATGAGGCAGCCTAGTGTGCAGAGCTCCACACTGGGGCAGGGTATGGGGAAAGACCCCATGTCCCATCCACATGCTGTGAAAGCTTAGGGCTCCTAGGGCCTGCCCTGTTTCTGTGGGTGGGTAGCTGGGCATGTGTGGCCATCTGGAGACCCCTATTGGCTTGGGGTCAGACCCCAGGGCCCCATCTTGGCTGCTGTGACTCCAGCCAGGTGAGGGTCTTAGTTACTGTTCCTGGGTGCCTACTACACACACGGCCAGCATTTGGTGTCAGTGCCAGGAGATCCCAGAGGTCCAGCCCTGCTGCCAGCCTCACTTTAGAGCCACCAGGAGGCCCCAGAAGGGAGTCGCTGAGGTGCCAAGGATCAATAGTGAGGCAGAGCCCCAAACCCAGGGCCTCTCAGGCTGGAGCCCTGCACCCTACCCCAACCACCAATCCCACAGGGACAGGAAAAATCCAGTGAGAACCAAACAGGTCGGGTCAAGCTCCCAGGAGATAAGACCATCGTGGGCTGAGGGGGTTAAGGGGTATCCCTCACCACGAGGAGCAGTGCTGCCCCGGGGAAGCTGGCAGCCCGAGCACCTGTTCTTAGGCCGTTTATTTCACGGGGAATGCCCTCTCCATCTAAATCCTTCCCTTCTGGCAGAGCATACATTAAGTCCCCGTGTGCCTTTTACCAGCAGAGCCAAGTGACCCTACCCCCCTTGTAATGCTGCACATAGGGTCTTTTTTTTTTTTTTTTTTTTTTCAATTTGAGACGGAGTCTCACTGTGTTGCCCAGACTGGAGTGCAGTGGCATGATCTCAGCTCACTGCAACCTCCGCCTCCCAGGTTCAAGCAATTCTTCTGCCTCAGCTACTCAAGTAGCTGGGATTACAGGCACCCGCCACCATGCCTGGCTCATTTTTTTGTATTTTCTTGTAGAGACAGAGTTTCACCATGTTGCCTGGGTTGGTGTTAAACTCCTGGCCTCAAGTGATCCACCTGCCTCGGCCTCCCAAAATGCTGGGTTTACAGGCACGAGCCACCACGCCTGGCTATGCGAGGGTCTTTGAGTGGGAAACAATGCGCTTGTTGGAGGCAGTAGTGCCCACACTAGGGGCAGAGGGTACAGGGAGCTGGACTCACAGGCAGTGGAAGGGAAGATGGGAAGGGCCTGCACCAGGACAGGGGCAGCTGGAGCGAAAGGAGGATTCCAGACTTGGGAAGAGCAAGGCAGGCAGGGTGTGGGAAAGGCAGGGGGTTGGGGGGAGGATGAGCGTCCCAGAGCACCCACCCGCCCCTTCTTCCTTACCGTCAGTGGCCATGTCCTGCTCAGCAGACATGAGCCTGGTGCTGGTTTCCAGGGCAGCTGGGATGGGGGCGAAGAGAGGGGCAGTGCAGGGTCAGGACAGACCCCAGGGGCTTCTGCTTTGAGGCCAGGACCCGGGAGGGAGGGCAGAGCCCTACCAGCCTTCTCAACCCTGGAAGATGCTATGGAAGTAAGTCCCAGGCCCTGGAGGAAAGGGAAAAAGGAAACACAGGCCTCCCATGTGATCCTGCTCACCCCAAGTTTTGGAAGGGAAGTGTTTAGATGGCTTGGCCGCTGGAGCTCGTGACCAGGCAGTTTGAGGCCAAGCTGGGAGTTGAACCCAAGTCTGCCTCGAGTTTTTCTGATTTCCACACCAGGGATTCGATTAGGTCTTGGTGGGGAACGGCAGGGTGTGTCTTGGTGAAATTATGTCCCCAGAAGCTGGGCAAAGCAGGTGGGGAGGAGACAAATGCCCCTCCCACTGCCAAACCTCCCCCTATGCCCATTAAGGAACCGTCTAGGGCCAAGCAAAAATACTTTGGAAACCCACAAGTGCTGGCATGTGCATTGCATGTCTGGGCCGGGGCCTGCCCCTTAGTGGCCCTGCTGCCCAGCATTTGGGTTTTCAGAGGGCAGCACCACACATCTGCAAGCCCCTTGAAAGGGTGAGCCTGTCCCTGTGGGGTGCATGGTGGGCCCCAGATCCTCCTATTCCCAGGAAGTTGCCCCCTCAAGGAAGCAGCTCCTAGACACAGCAGTCCTGGGTGTCGTAAGGCTGGGAGGCTGAGGGCTGGGATTAGGACAGCGTGGTTAACAAGAGATGGGCTCCTCAGTGTCCTGCTAGAGATGCCCTGGCCCCTGGCCAGCAGGAAGAGGTGCCCTCTCTGAGTGGCTCTGTTGGAATCCAGATGCCACCTCACTGCCAACCAAGTCAACTGACCAGGTCCCCTCCCCAAAGACAAGATATAAGGAGAAAAAAACAGCGTGCAGGAAAAGGACAGGCCTCAGCTGACTCCCAGAAGCCATGACTCAGACCCCTGTCCTCAAGAGATGCAGTTCCCACACCCTCATTTACAATAATCCAAGTGAAGTGGCTGCCCCACAAGGCCACAGCCCGAGAGTGTGCTGAGACCAGGACATGACCAGAGGTGACGACCCCAAGGTGGTCTCCTTGTGAGTGCCTGGGAAAATTACCGGAGGAGCAGGACTTCACCGAGGAAGGCTGGGAGCCCCGAGTGTCACCGTTGCCATGCGGAAAATATCCAGCGGGCGCACGGCTCTCTTCTCCAGATGTGGAGGGCTGGAGTGGATGAACTGGGCAAATCCAATTTGTTATTCGGGCAAGCCCGCTTCCTCCAGGCAGGACAAAAACCCTCAAGTCCCCTATGTAGGCCCTGGCTCGAAGCCCATGCTTACCAAGGCCGTAAAGCCGGTCAGCGGCAGAACCTGCACCCAAGGCTCAGGCCTCAAAGGCTCTTCCCATTTCGCCAGCTTCACCTGGCTCAGTTGGTCAGTAACTGGGCCCAGGACAGTGGCTCAGCAAAATCTCTAAATTTCATCAGTGCACATGAACCAGTTGGATTTTTTTTTTTTTAAAGAGATGGGGTCTCGCTATGTTGCCCAGGCTGGAGTGCAATGGCTATTGCTCAGCTGAGCAGCACGGGAGTTTTGACCTGCTCCGTTTCCAACCTGTGCTCGTTCACCCCTCCTTAGGCAACCATATTGATGCCGAACTTAGTGCGGACACCCGATTGGCATAGCGCACTACAGCCCAGAACTCCTGGACTCAGGCGATCCTCCCACCTCAGCCTCCCGAGTGGCTGGGACTACAGGCACGCACCACCCTGCCTGGCAAACCAGTTGGACTTTAAAAGATACATGAAGGCACAATTAAAACAAGATTGGCCATGTGGTAGAGCCATCAGAGCCGAGCGCGTGGGAATTCTACTTTTTCACTGTTTCTGTGTGGGTCTGGAATTTTTCTTGAGGCTGGCTGCACTGGCTCACGCCTGTAATCCTGGCACTCTGGGAAGCCAAGGCAGGTGGATCATCCGAGGTCAGGTGTTCGAGACCAGCCTGGCCAACATGGTGAAGCCCAGTCTCTACTAAAAATACAAAAAAATTAGTTGGGCGTGGTGGTGTGTGCCTATAATTCCAACTACTCAGGAGGCTGAAGCAGAATTGCTTGAACCCAGGAGGCAGAGGTTGCAATGAGCCGAGACTGTGCCACTGCACTCCAGCCTAGTATAAGACTCAATCAAAAAAAAAAAAAAGTTCTTTGAAAAAGGTTTTACAATGGCAGGAGATTCCCCACGGTGAAGGCTTAAAAAACTATCTTCACCCTAATTCCTAGTTTCAAATGAAGTTTTTCAGGGTTTAAGACGAAGACAAGGCCAGGAGAGGCTTGGAGGAGTCCTTTCTATGGTTAAGAACACTGAGAGGCCCTCTAACTAGAGGCCAAGACTTCAGAGGACCTGGCTCCAAGAGTCAGTGGGAAAGCAGCACTTGAGACAGCACTACCCACCCTCACCCAAGACAGAACACGAAGAAACAGCCACCAGAATGGTTTCTTCTGTATAAACACAAGTACATGAGGTTTATTTGAAACCAATTTATTACAAGTTCACCCTTTAATGGGGCCCTTCCTCCTTGAAGACAAAAAAAAAAAAATTCAGGTGTCACTGAAGTGGGAACACAGGATTCTCACTATGAACAAGAACAGACTGGATCTAGGAGAAGAGGCAGGAGAAGCTGGCGGTGGCAGGGGTTATGAAGCTGTGATGTCAGTGCCAACTCCATGCCTGTAGAAGGGACGGTAAACTACCCGCCAGCCCTGGAGCAATCCCCACCGTCCCTCAGCAAGGAGGACGGGAGAAGCAGGGGCCACACTCCGCAGTTTAATAGAGGCATTATTCTCATGTTCTAGGAGTTGCAATCCCCTTGGTGGACTGTATTAAATAGGTACAGAAGAGCTCAGGTGCTCAAATTTTCCAAATTCAAAGTCAATAAAAAAGAAAATTAAACCCTGTTTTGTACTTTTATCAAAATCCATCATAAAAGGGAAGAAGACTACAAAGTTTTGCCTAAACATAACAACTAGAGCTAGATTTGTTACGGGAAGGGCTCTCAGAGCTTCT